CAGTCGGTATGCGAGGAGAGGAGAGACGCGCTATCCTCAGATGCATCACTGGCGAGCACAAGACAAGCCGCTTGCCAGACAGTTATCGGCTCTACTCGACGATCCTGAGGTACGTATTATACAATTGCTATTTATGTTGTACGTCCTTTTACAATCTGAATACATAGTCATTAACTGTGACATATCAAAATGACAGCTTGAAGTTCTCACTGAATTGACACCGTCGATCGAGGAGGACGGTCAGTGTTATATTCGCAAATTGCCTCCTCAGTTTTATATTCGCAAATTGCCTCTTTGTACTGCGCATGACGATCAGATGCCTGAGTCTAGGATGGATCGAGATAGGATATGTCACTGTGCAGGATTTGTTGTATATCGCTTTGATCTTGTAATTAAGTGCTTCACTTGTAATATTTATTTTTTCAAGAGGATCGTTCAGTACTACCTCCATTGAGGATATCACCTCCACCGAGGAGAGCACGTCCAGCGAGGATGTCACCTCCGTTGAGAAGATCACGTCCAGCTACGCCAGAGGTTCAGATGCCTGAGTCCAGCGTTGATCGAGATAGAGTATGTTACTTAAAAATAATTCTTCGATTGTCGTTTTATTTTATTTGTTAGGTTATTCATTTGTAATAGTTATTTTTTCAGGAGGGCCGTCCAGTATCACCTCCTGCACCTAGTCCCCGTGCTTCGACGATTGATTTGTTCGAACTCTTGATGGAGATGAGAGGAGACATGGCAGAGTTACGGGATAATGTCGTGACACTACGAGCTGAGTTCGGAGACATGACACAGTTACGATATGATGTCGGGATGTTACGATCTGGGTTAGGAGACCTTCATGCTGAGGTTGCAGCGATACGGGGTGATATAGCAGGCCTGCGTGAGACGAGCGATTATCGAGATGGAGGAGGTAGCGGAGGGACATGTCACTATCGGGACGGAGGGGGTGACGAAGGGATTGGTGGCTATCGAGACGGAGGGACTGGCGGTTATCGGGACGGAGGGGTCGGTGGTTATCAGGGGGGAGGGGGTCAGATGAGGTATGTTGACTCATCGTGGCCATCAGTTGCTACATTTGATTTATTTTTAAATGACACGATGGGGATGGAGGAGCGAGAGAGGATACCTATGGTGGAGGGGGTGCCTGTGCAGGATATACTTGAGGACGTGGAGGGGGTACCCGAGGAGGAGAGGGTACCGGAGATGGCGGTAGAGGTGGTACTCAAGATGACGTCACCCGATGCAGAGGGGATACCCGAGGAAGTGGGAGTGCCCGTGCAGGGGATACCCGAGGACGTCGAGGGAGCATCAGAGGTGGAGGTGGTGGTGGTACCCGTGCAGGGGATACCTAAGGATGCCGAGGGGGCACTGGAGGAGGATAGGGTACTGGAGGTGGAGATGGTACCCATGCACGGGATACCCGGGGATGTCGAGGGGGCACCGGAGGAGGAGAGGGTACCGGAGGTGGAGGTGGTACCCGAGAAAATGCCAGACTCGCCGGACGTGGTCTTTGTGTCGGAGGAGGTGGTCCCGATAGCGGGCGAGGGGTCGTCCCGATGGCTGGGGAGATGGAGATTCCCGAGACGTATGAGGAGAGGACGATGGCTGTTGACATGGTGGAGCGGGTGGTCGGCAAGAGGCCAAGGGTGCCATCATAGTATGTTCTTTCTCCCTTTACCGCGGAGGCGAAGGGGAGAAGGTTCGTCGACGGGACGCACCCGAATTTATTCAGGGAGGTGGACCACGCCAAGTGGAAAGCCTTTGAGATAGAGTGGAGAGCACTGCAGCATGGGTAAGTTTTGTATTTTATATAATTAGTATAGTACGCAGACGCAGACGCTGACACATGTATACTTCTTATAACTAAAAATTATGTTCTTATTTTTTCAGGGCCAGCCGCACGATTGCTGAGAAGACGATCTCAAATCCTTACAAGTGGTTCCACGACATCACCACTTCGGGGGCTTGGCTCGCCGACGATATAAGTGAAATGAAAATATTGTTATTTATTATATATGTTCAAAATAAATTTTTTGAATGAAATTTATAGATTAACTCCTTTTTTTATTGGTGTTTCTTGATATAGCACATCGACTTGAGCATGGATTTGCTACGAGATCGTGCTGAAAGACATCCAAAATCGTTCAACATTTCTGGCAGACTCATATTGAACACCGAGCTCATCCGTGCCGTTGACATTGAGTACCACTCGTTTCAGGCTATGGGTAGCGAGTACATGGTGCCGGAATATATGATGGAATGGGTCGTAGGGATGTGACCGAGTGTCGGTGGAAAGCCATGGGATGGCTGTACGCATATGTACATACCAGTATGTGTGAATCATCACTACATTGCAGTGAAAATCGTATTCGCCGACTCCACGATGTATGTGTTCGACCTCGATCATTCATGCCTGACACAAGGCCAGCTCGAGCAAAATCTAGAGTCGGTGTTTGTGATCGTTCCCATGATGGCTAGACAAGTGAACATCATTGTACATGACAGATTCGCCACCATGCGGAACACGACGACGGCGAGGCAGCAAATATCGTAAGTATTTGTAATTTTCTTTTTGTCATTTACATCTTAGTAACTAACTAATTTTCGATGTGCTAATACAACATTGTTTAATTGTATGGGTGATTGCGGCATGATCGTCATCAAGTACATAGAATTTTTTAGTATGGCACATAAGGTTGAGGCAATCAACCAGGTATGGATACAAAATTGGAGAAATAAACTAGTATGTGATTTATTTGAATTTAATGGGAATCCGTAAATAATTGTACATATTTTTACATTTATTTAAACATTGTACAGTTCATTCATTTATTTGTAATTACGAAAGAATTGTAAAATGTTAATTATTTATGTAATATTTAAATATTTATTTGACAATGCAACCTACCGTATAATGCAGTGTCTAGAAAAAACTTCGATTTCAAATAATTAACATAAATAATATGCATAACAAATGAATGTAATGAATGAAATGTTTGAAAAAATACTAAATCTAATAATTCACATAAATAATATGCATAAATAATTAACGTCAATGTTATAAATAATTACATTGCCAATAATTATTAAAATTACACATCCGTTACATTGTCATGTAGAGGAATCTGACTTGTACAATATCTTCTAGTATACCCTGTTGCACCGCACCTACCGCACTTACGAGGCTGGAGAAACTCTCCGGTAGATGGTATTCTAGATGTACGTGTACGTCCAGGAGTACGTGGTCCAATTGCTGGTGGCAACAAGTTATTCAGTGGGAGAATGTGGTCGGGCACTTCCCACTCGGGTACAGGAAATTTTGTTTCCGCATATGCTGCTCTTCAATAATTAGTCATGTAATACACACTGCATAAAGTGTGTGGTGGTAATCCTCTATGCATAGCCACTGCCACTGCATGTGTACACGGAAAACTCTCCAACTGAAATCGTCTACACGTGCACGTGTTATCATTCAAGTCCACAATGTATCCGAAATTACGTGCACATCTTACGGAGAAGCGAAATTGATTCAGTGGTTCTACATATACCTTTCTTGCCACATCTAGAGTCTTAAAGAGCTTTTCTTCTTGAGCTGGGATTAGCACACTTACACAACTCTGTGATTCCTCACGTCGATCATGAAACCACTGTTGTAGCTTGTCACGAATGTTCTCAATCATTGCGAGAATTGGTAACTCTCGATCTTTCTTGAATAAAGCGTTAAGCGACTCCGCATTGTTCGACGTCATCATGTTGTATCGACGTCCTGGAAAATGTGATCGTGCCCAATGTTCAATCCCCATCTCTGTTAGATACTCCCATGCAGCATGCGATTTACTGTCTATTTCGACCATGAATTTATCAAACTCTTCAAAACTGTAAGCCTCTGCAGCTCTCCTAAACAACGCAACGACGCCATTGCCTCGATACCTGGTCTTCAAGTTTCCTTGTATATGGTACATACAATAACCATGATGTGCGTCGGGGAAGATTTCAGCGATACCATTTATTATTAACTGCCCTCGATCGGTTACGAATGCAAGATTTTCGACATCTCCAATTACTTCCCTGAACTTCGTGAAAAACCAACTCATTGCTACATCATTTTCTCCGTCGACTATACCGAACGCAAGAGGGTAAATTTGAATGTTCGCATTTTGGCATGTTGTAATAATCAACTTGCCCCCGTATCTCGCCTTAAGGGTTGTACCGTCGACTAAGATTAGGGGTCGCATTGCATTTCGAAATCCTCGAACACATTGTCCAAGGCCTATAAAGAAATATTTGAAGCAATTTTCGTCATCTTTCTGAATAAAAAATGCCGACCCAGTATTAATTCTTCCCATATTATAGCAATACCTGGCAAATATAAATAAAAATAATCATAATTTAGATAATATATTAAATATTAAATGAACAGAAAAATAAACAATTCAATTAAATAATTAATTACATATAAATAAATATTTGAAATTAAATAATTAAAATTTAAAATAACAAAGAAATAAACACTTAAATAATGAAATACTTGGCTAATTTAGCATAACTCTCCTCAGTCGAACCCATCAAATCCTCCAATGCACATTCTTTAGCCTTCCAAGCCTTCTGATAGCTCATGACCACCCCGTACTCTCGTCGAATATCATTAATGATGTCCGAAGGTCTATAGATCGTTCGTGGATCCTGGAACTTGTGCATTATTTCTCGACCAATGAACCATGATCGGGCCTGCCTATGATCATTTCGACGAATACCCACTTTACAAGTATGTTCCCGTGCATACTTACGGACTACAAAAAACTCATTTATGTCCATCTTAGTCGCTCGCAAACGCCAATGGCAACTGTCGTCAACGCAAATAATTGTGTATGTCGACTTATTTGATTTCTTCACTTTAAACTCAAAGTTATGTTTTAAAGCAATCCGGTGCACAGCTTCTTGCAATTCTTTCTTTGGTTCGAATAGTTGCTCGACATATACATCTTCATCATCGGGAACTATACGCGAACAATTAGAGGACCGTGTACTCGGTCCGGCCTGTGAGTTCCCACCCGACTCATGTCTCCTACGAGATAGAGCAATCAAATCCTTGTTTGTAAATGTGTTTTCATTCTCGTTGTCTTCCACTATCGATGGAATTCTGTGCGTAACAGTGTGATCATGGTGAGTAGCAGTGGTCTCGGGAATAATCACATCATCTTCACGAACAATCTGAATTGTATCCCAAACATCATTTACATTACGATTCTCTTCATTTGAAATTTCGTGTTCACCCTTGTGGACATTCTTCCCCAATAAAGTTAATTAGATGTTTTATTTCCACTTCAGAAGTAACTTTCATAGGTGGAATTGGAATTGTTGAATACTTATGAAACAAAAATCCCAATTCCATATCGTACTGAGAGGGATCGACGTTAAGCATGTTTTGTATATCACTGTACATTTCTGCAAACGATGTATTCCTTGTTATAAAAATTGCTTTAACCCCATCTCTTTCATTCGTCCATTTCCATTCCCATTGAGTATTTTCATTCATTTGAAATTCACCAAAGTAACAAATTGGGACACATGCTAATGTCATATCTGCCACAAATTAAAAATAAGGAATTAATATATAATTTTTAAAATTGTTCATTTCATATTTAATTTAATTTAATACTTTAAATAATTCATTGATTATTTTAATTGTTTCAAAAATATATATTTCAATTAGTATTAAATATTCATTAATATTTATTTCAATAAACATATATTAATGAACAAATAAATTCTAAAATCTGAAAGGGGAGGGAAGGGGAGGGAAAAATAAAAAATAAAAATAGGCCGGCTGGGAACAGCCGGCTGTTTCCAGCCGCTGGGCCGACTTGAAATATTTGGCCCAGCTTTTTTCGTCCGTTTCATCTGAAATTTATGCTCGAATTTTTTATTTTTTTTCCTTTTTCAACGAAATAATGTTTAAATATTTATTTTACAGACACCTATAAATTTTTCCTGTAAAATATATGCATACAGAGATGAATTTTTTTGTTATTTTTGCTATAAAAAAATTGTACATCTGTGTTTAAATACTGTAAAATTCATCTGCCTTTGTCAAAAAAAATATTTAAAGATTCAAATAGTAAATTTAATTAAAACAAAATTAAAAATACGTATTTATACTTATCAATTTCCAGTGCCGACTATGATTATTATTTCTTTGTTGAACCTTTGATAATTTTGGGAGATTTCAATATTTTAGCAGATGGAAGGAAAAATTTCTATATTCTGCTTATTGACTGTTGTGTAGCTATTTTGAATAACACACGAATTATGCATATGCACACGACTTGTTTGTATTATTACCGCAAAGGTCTGTCTGTCTGTCTCAACATATTGGCTAAGCTAACTGATCACGACCATATCTTATCAAAAAATGAAAATTATGCATATGCACAGTGTATGTTAGATAAAGCTTTTTGTGATTGTAAGTTGTGGGTCTTATAGAATAAGTGGATAAAAGGTCGACAAAAGACGTGGGTCTTGCAGAATGTGTGACTAAAAATGATGTTTGACCTGCTTATAAAGCTATAAAATGTTTTACTAAATGTCTCAAAATATATTTTTAGATTAATTAGCCTTAAATTATAGTACTGATATTGCATATTATTAATTTGGAATACACATGAAGGCAGAAGATAGTTGAAGCTTACTGACAGGGAAAAGATGTATAGTCGCCCAACTATTTAGTGAATGTCCTAGTTGAGCTATCTTGTTGAGTCAAGCAATAATGTTATAGCCTTTTCCCAAAAACTGGAATGCCAAGAATTTCGGCCTTATCTCTAATGAACTAGGGGTTGGCTATACAAATCTTTTTCGCTACCCCGTTCTGCTCATTGTTACCTTTACTAGTAGATCCAAAGCATTTCAATCCGCAATAACCAAGACAAACCATGAGGTTATCCAGAGGCTGCAAAACAATAGATTTGTGCATATGAAAATCCCATGTAATGTTGCTGTTAACGAATAATTTGAAACTCGTAAGACCCAAAAAACTGTTTAACAATGAAAAATATGAACGTGGAACTCATACATAACATGTTCCTCTTGCAGTATTTTGTTCTTTTTCATTTTTAACTGGTTTGTCTTATTTTAATTTTTCGTTTTTTCTTTCAGGCTTCCATTTTTCTCACCATATAAAGGAGCTTATAATTTATAAAAAAAGTTGAATTTTTCTTGTTTTACATTCTATCACTATTCCTCTGGATTGAACGTATGGAGTTATCATCAGAAGTAGTTAACTTTGGAAAGTCTCTATTAGTTCCTAGTGTCCAAGAGCTGGCCAAAGAGCCTATTGTCAAGATCCCAATACGATATGTGCGCCATGACCAAGACCCTCGATCCAATGACATTCACATGTCATCAGTACCAGTTGTCAATCTCCAGAGCTTACTTATAGGAGAATCCCTGAATTATGAGCTGGAAAAGCTTCATTCCGCTTGCAAAGACTGGGGCTTTTTTCAGGTTTTTACATTCCTTTCATTATTCTTGTATCATCTTGATTTGCCAGATCTTAACTCAATCTTGGGACTTGAATTAGGAAGTTAAGCAATTTGAATTTGATGTCTGATTGTACAAATCTATGTATGGTAACATCAACTGTTCTTTTGAAATTTTCTGTACATTCAAGTTACCAATGGAAAATGGCTTAGTACTTGTTTGGCATGGCTTTTGAAAAGTAAGTTGCTCTTTAATATGTTCGAATAATTTTTTGGAAGAGCTTTCTCTGTTAAAAGAGTTTTCGGTGGAAGCTGGTTTAAGGCAACTTCCTCGGGAAGCTATTAAATAGAAGAAGAAGTAAAAGTAGAAGTAAAAGCAGAGGTAGAAGTAGAAGCTATCCCAAATGAGCTCCTAGTATGTTGATGCATATCATGATTTTCCTCACCAGCTTCTCCGTAATTTATTCTTTTCATAGTAGATTATAGACCATGGAGTTTCTCCTTCGTTGCTAGAGGAATTTAAAAGGCAAGTTACAGACTTCTTTAACCTTCCAATGGAAGACAAAAAGACTCTATGGCAACAACCAGACAACCAAGAGGGATTTGGGCAGCTCTTTGTTATATCTGAGGAGCAGAAGTTGGATTGGTCAGACATGTTCTACATAACAACTCTACCCGTCAATCAAAGGAAGATTGAATTGTTTGAAAAGTTACCTACAAAACTAAGGTTCTTTCTCTGTACGCACACACTCGCACACACAATGAACTTCTTTTGCTCATCTGAAAGGTTTAAAGGTAAGTGAAGTGATTTCCATAATCGGTGTCTAGGGAAACTATGGAGGCGTACTCGGAAGAACTGAAAAAGCTAGCCGCGACTTTATTAAGTCAAATGGCTAAGGCTCTAAAGATGGACGATAATGAGATCAATGAACTATTTAGAGATGGTGTACAATCAATGCGGATGAATTTCTATCCTCCTTGCCCTGAGCCTGATAATGCCATTGGCTTCAGTCCTCACTCGGATGCAGTTGCTCTAACAATTTTGTTTCAGCTCAATGAAACCGAGGGCCTTCAGATTCGAAAAGATGGGAAATGGGTGCCAGTTAAACCACTTCAAAATGCTTTTGTGGTTAATGTTGGTGACATAATGGAGGTAAATTCTCAATAATCTTTTAACTAGCTCGCATAGGCATTCTCCAAAACCAAACTGGTCTATATATGTGAGTCAGGAGTGACAATGATTATTAGCATCTTCATTGTGTCCACGAAGGAGGAAGCTCTAGACAAACTTTAATTTGGCCCAACGAACTTGTCTTGTTCGGTCCTAAAATAAGAATATGTTAGGAAAAATATGTAGATTTTGCTGCTTTACATATTTTGTTCTCCACCGATGTATAGAAGTATCTTATGTGTTATCCTGGTTATTGCTTCGCAGATTGTGAGTAATGGTGTTTATCGGAGCATTGAGCATAGAGCAACACTGAACTCGGACAGTAAGAGGCTCTCTGTTGCCACATTTTATAGCTCCAACCTCAACTCGGAGTTGGGCCCTGCACGCAGCCTTGTTGGACCGAAGAATCCACCAGTTTTTCGGCGAATGCCAATTGAGGAGTACTTCAAGAATTTCTTCGCCCGGAAACTCAATGGCAAGTCTTATATTGATTTTATGAAGTTGGAAGTTAGAGAAAACGACAGTACACAGATTGATTACTAAGAGGATGAAACTCAGTTCTTGTTCTAGCTACTTCCACGGGATTGAACCTATTACTTATGTAAACATAGTTTTTAGGAAAATGTTTGTGAATCGTTTGACTTCCGATCAAAATGTTGTTTGACTTTTACTACAACTGCACTTTCCTCACAATTAATTCAAATTAATTACGATCCAGCTGGAAAGGAGATAATTAATTATATTGACTGAATAATAAGTGCTTTATAATAATTGAATGGTTTGTATTCTTGATTCATTGATTGCTCATTGGATAATAATATTACAAAATAAATGGACTTCTAATTTAATAATATAGCTAAATAATCATAAGTTACTTACTGGTAATAAAATAAGTTTTAGCCCTCGTTTGTTTCCCATTAAAGTGAAAAATATGATCGTTATCCGTCACATTAAGTTACTATATTTGACTTTTTATCTCTTATGTGGAATCTGTAACGATTATATTTTTCATTTTCATTTTTACATTAATGTGTACCAAAGTGGGCCTTAAAGTGAATAAATTATTTTGGTAATAATTATGATTAATATGTTTCCTTAAATTTTTAAACAAACAAAATGAAAATCACATCAACAATTAAGGGAAACTAATTAATAATTTACGGAAAGAAAATCTTTTTTGCTTTTTCTTTTTCATATTTTCTTCCCCTAAATTATGGGTTGAGATGTTAAATTTTTTATAAATAAAATTCCCACATCCAAACATATTTTTGATAAGTAATTAATTATAAGTTCGGCAAAACTTGTGAAAAGTCAAGAACTGAGAGCCATTGAGTTGCCATCGACTCCTACGCGGGGTTCTCTTTCAAATTCCGGAGACCCCACCACCCTGGTTCATCTTTCTTGCACTGTTCTCATTTTGAAATCCAATCAACACACGTACAGAGAGTTAAATTCAGCAATTTAGAGAGTGAACTCAGATGCTCTAGTGGGATGAACTGCAATTAAATCAAGAATTTCAATAATAAAAAATCATGCCTTCAAATGCGAAGAAGCGAAAAGCTGCCAAGAGAAAGAAGGGAGTAGAATCATCATCCAACAACAATAGCAACTCTATTCCACAGGGTTCTACTGCTGAATCTCATGGTACAGTTGGTTCTCTACTTCAAACAATCCAATTGAATCAAGCCCATGTTTCTCTCAATTGTATTCCTATCTTTTTCGAACTTTGCAGTTAAATCTTTTCTGAATTTGGCTTTGTGGATAAGCCTCAATGCCTGTTGATTTGCTTGATTTGGAATCCACTGGGCTTGCCCATCTGTTCATCTTCACGTGGAGATTAGATTCATCTAGAAGCTCTAGCTTTTGCAGAGGGAACATGAGCATTCATTGAAATGTCTTCAACAATTTTATTATCAATCTTTGTATGTACCAATGTGTCCCATGTGCAGTAGTTGATAATGATTATAAGGGCACGTGTTAGTGTTTCCTCTTTTATTCTTTGGTATGAAGTTATACTTCATGACAGCTTTTAATAGAAAGCATAGATGTATTAGTACATCTATATAGAACAGACCATTGTATTTCTCAATTGTGTAGAGAATCTTGTTTTAACTTATTGGTTTTCAGGTTTTGGTTAAATTGCTTTGTGGATAAATTTTGTACTAAATTCTTTTGATGAATCAAACTATGGTAGGGGATGATGATCTGAAGCACCAAGATGATAAAGAGAGTGATGGTGGAGAGGTTAGCTCTCCTGCATCTCAGGAACACTGTAGCCACCAGCACTATTTCACCGAGAATGAGGAAGTCGAGGTGGAGCAGGAACACAAGACTTCAAATGTTCTGTCTGTCGAAGGAACGAATAATGAGGCTTTTAGAGAGCAAAAATCAATGGTAGGGGATAAGAGTATTGTTCTCATTGAAAGGGACTTGAATGGCGAGGATGAATCAGACCGGAAGGACATAAAGATTGTGTATGATGGGGGCGAGGCCGGGAGTTCTAATAATTGTAGTTCAGATGATGAGTCTCATGTTGTTGAGGATGGTAAAATTGTCGTTGAAAGTGTTACATTTGTTGATTCTGCAAAACTGGACAATTTTTTATTCGGGCGACAGGCTGAGGAAATTGATGTTGTTTCAGTCGAGGAAGATAGTGATTTAGTTGAGGAAACATGCCCTTTCATCGACTCGGAGAAGATCTCAATACTGGATGAGAAAGTGCAACTACGTACAAGTGCTATATTTGAATTGAAAGCAAATGAGATGGAAAAGTTGAGTTATGTAGGTGAGAAGGTTATTATTTCAGCAACTATTGTGGATGTGGTATCAGAGAGGAATGAGGATGTACCAACTGATCGATTAATTGAAATTGCTGCTGCCACTTCAAATGCTAAAGAATGTGGAATACAAGAAAATGATGACAAATTGACGCCCTCGTACACTGCACCTAAAGTCGATCCCAGTAAAGAAGTAGAACGTGAGAAAGATAATAAATTTCCTGAGGTGCTGGTTGTGTTTTTCTACTGCAGAATTACGTCAATCCTTCGCAGAAGATCTCATCTTAATCTTTGCTATTTCCTTCTGATATGCAGGTGTTGGCAGCTCCTGGTCCCACACATCCAGTGCAAACTACTTCATGGAAGAGTTGCTGTGGACTCTTTGAGGCGTTGACAGGGTCTGGTAGATAGTTCAAGGTTAAGATCCTTAAGTTTCAAACTTTCATCGTTTCATTCACATTTTACAATATAGGTTTTATGCCACAGTGATTTTAATGTGCACATTAAACTCATTTTCTAGTAGGTGAACAATGAAAGAAAACTACAATATTGGTAAGTAAATGACTGCAAATATCAAACAGAGACTTTATACAAAACCAATATTCGGCTATTTCCGCATAAGCAGAAGCACGTTCACGTTGAAGATTGACTATTGCAGAAGGCTCGGATTGAGTTTTGTCAAAAATTTGTGATCCTTCGTCTCTAATGATCATTGTTGAAGAATAATAGCGAGAGGTACGGGGAAACATGCAAAGTTAGGTTTTCCTTTGTAGTTTGCAGAGATATGTAAGAATTTCTCTGATGGTGCTTTCTCATGAGTTTTGCACTGAATTGACTTTTCTTTCTTGTTAAGTTTTAACCTAGTTTGGCTGCTTTCGATTTTCGGCTCTTAATGATTGAGTTGTGGTTAATATGGTCCAACTTGATGTTTTGATGACTGTTACTTCAATGTTGTGATAAGCCTAAAAATTGAAATAGGGGTAGTGGATTGGGGGTGTTAAAATGTGTCAGACTGATCGAGCCCAATTTAGGTAGGGGCTTGTGGTCTATATCGACTGCCCACACAGTCCTTTTTTAAAATAAAAAGAGAGAATAAAATGTGGTTTGTGTTGGACCCAAGCTATTTTGGGTATGTTTGGATACATATTAGACCCTAAAATCGGACCACGTTGGCCTATCACAACTTGATTTACTCTTCTAGATATACGTGTGCAATCAACTTAGAATTTTCTTTTGGAAGGAGATAATGAAGCGTAACAGATTTGTTGTCTGACAAGGATGATGATATAAATGTCTTTTGTTGATTTTTTTCTCCTTTCTTAAAAAAAATTATAAAACATAGTAGTGATTCAGAAATCAGAAGGTAGATTCTTAGACAATTAAAAACAGTTTTCTAAAAGGCTCATACCAGCCATTTTATTTGTATGCTCATTTTTTTCACACAAACACGAACAAATTACTAGTGAATACATGAAATGCCAGTCCTTGATTTTGTACAACATAAATGAATCGAAAATTCATAAATCTAAAAAAAATAAAGTAATAATAAAATGCAAAACACACTTAAGACACAATTGAAGACCGTTCTCCGTGCTCAAAGACTGATCAACGCCCATGAATTGCAGCTATGTACAACAGTTGAGTGGCTGAAAGGATAATAATAAATGCTTCCATTGTTCTCTGTCATTTTAAAAAAAAAAAAAATTTGTTAGTACCAAATTATCGTTTGAGATCATTTATGTCGATACAAAATCAATATTTGTTGGACAAAGTACCAGACGAGAATTTCTGATCTGGAGTTCAATCTCTTTCCATGCGAAGCTGCACAGATAGTTCTTATTAGTCGAGAAAAAGGAAAAACTAAGACGGACAACAAAAGACACGAAACAAATTTAGATGGAGGAAATAAATTTTGAGTCGTCATAAATAATTTCAACTGAGAATATAGGTTACCCCATGGCAAGAAGAGTGAGAGTCCAAGCAATGGTAGCAGCAGAAAGTGCACCAGGCATGCTATTTATGTTCCAGTAACGATAATGGTTAAATCCAGCAAGGATTGATGCAATTCCAACAACACCAGCAATCATAGCAAATGTCACAAAGAATCCAGTGGCTGCATTTCCCATCGGGAAGTATATCGGTGAGAAATGTGCTGGCAAATCAAATCCAGGACCTGTTACATAAAATCCCAATGCATTATTCCAATCATTTTTCATCGTAGAGATGTAGATCAGCCAGGCAAAATGCTTTGTACGCCTAAAGTTTTGAGTAATGCTATCTAGCATTAGTACACAATGTCATGTCAGGCTTACTTTTGTGCATGTTCGTGTTTGGAGATGGCCTTATGCACGCCTAAAACATTCTGGGTCTAGCAAGAATAAGCCACTTTAGGCTGACTTCTTGTGTTTGTATGTGCACTTGTCAAAAATGCATAAGAGATACATAGAATTTTCATTGAGAAAATGAACTTACCAATGACGAAACCATGTTCAATGGCCATGTTCATCGCCCAGCTACCAATGCCCAAAACTATTGCATACATGCAGAAATTGAGGACTAAAAGCAGTCCTGCAACAGATTTTAGCTGCCCATTTGCCATTCTTATGGATATAAGAATTCACAGGAACAAGAAATGCTGAAAGAAGAAATTTAGTTTTGTGTACAATTGCATGTGTATTGGGTGTTTATATAAGTGCAAATGTAAAGGTTTTTGGTTCTTTTCTTGTAAGGCTGTATGTTCTAAAGTGTTTTTTGTGGGGCTGTAAATGTTATACTTTGTGTTCAAGGAAGGGCAAAAGATGCCAGATTCTTTCCTGCCTGCCAGATTATATATTCTTTATCTCTAGGAATGATGTTTCTCAAAGGTTTGAATATTATGATTAAATTCTTTGTATTTCTAACTGTTTTAAGTTTCAACTTTTCAAATGAACAGTATACTCGAAAACAGCCAAACTTACTGTGCTGACACCGCCTATTTATGAAAATTTCTTGTGATTGGGAACTCAAAAACTGAGTACAAATTTGTCAAGAAACAAGTCAAATTCTATTCTTGTCCATACATTATGTGCGATCCATAATTTTAATTATTTTTTAATTACACATTCTTTGAGACCCATTACTTAATAAGCAATTATAAATTTTAACAAAAAATGCACTAAGTTACTTGTAAACACAATTAGATTTATTAAATTCCACCATTCCTTTTGGAACAAGGTTTGCAGCTATCTACATTTCGAGTTTAGTGACAAGTTTCATGAGTCTTATAGTAAAAATAATATCTCAAATTGTCCATTTCACAACAAGTGCCATACAAAAAAAAAAAATAAAAAAAAAGAAAAAAGAAAGGAAGCTTGTTTACTCTAATAGAGCAAATTTTAATTTAACGAAATTTATTATTTTAAAATTAATTTTTTAATTCTGATTTTAAATTTTTATTTTTAATTTGTTTTTTAATTTTAATTTTTAATTTTATTTTAAATTAAAGTTTTCATTTTAGTTATAATTTTAATTTAACGAAATCTGTTATTTTAAAATTAATTTTAAAATTCTAATTTCAACTTTTTATGTTGAATTTAATTGTAATTGTAATTTTATTTTAAATTTACATTTTTTAATTATAATTTTAATATAAAGAAATTTGTTATTTTAAACTTAATTTCAGAATAATTTTTTAATTCTAATTTAATTTTTTTATTTTAAATTTAATTTTAGTTTTTTATTCTATTTTAATTTTAATTTTAATTTTAATTTATAGAAATTTGTTAATTTAGAATTTATTTTCAAATTAATTATTTAATCCGAATTTTGAGTTTTTAATTTTCATTTCATTTTAATTTTTTATTTTATTTTAAATTTAAATTTTCATTTTAGTTATAATTTTAATTTTAAGAAATTTGTATTTTAAAATTACATTTTTAATTCTAATTTCAACTTTTTATGTTAAATTTAATTGTAATTGTAGTTTTATTTTAAATTTACATTTTATTTAAGTATAATTTTAACGTAAAGAGTTTTGTTATTTTAAAATTAATTTCACAATAAATTTTTAATTCTAATTTTAAAGTTTTATTTTTAATTTAATTTTAGTTTTTAATTTAATTTAATTTTTTTATTTAAATTTTGAATTTAATTTTATTTTTATTTTAAAGAAATTTGTTAATTTAGAATTTATTTTCATATTAATTATTTAATCCAAATCTTGAGTTTTTAATTTTAATTTTAATTTTTAATTTTATTTTAAATTAAAGTTTTCATTTTAGTTATAATTTTAATTTAACGAAATCTGTTATTTTAAAATTAATTTTAAAATTCTAATTTCAACTTTTTATGTTGAATTTAATTGTAATTGTAATTTTATTTTAAATTTACATTTTTTAATTATAATTTTAATATAAAGAAATTTGTTATTTTAAACTTAATTTCAGAATAATTTTTTAATTCTAATTTAATTTTTTTATTTTAAATTTAATTTTAGTTTTTTATTCTATTTTAATTTTAATTTATAGAAATTTGTTAATTTAGAATTTATTTTCAAATTAATTATTTAATCCGAATTTTGAGTTTTTAATTTTCATTTCATTTTAATTTTTTAGTTTATTTTAAATTTAAATTTTCATTTTAGTTATAATTTTAATTTAAAGAAATTTGTTATTTTCAAATTAATTTTAAAATTACCTTTTTAATTCTAATTTCAACTTTTTATGTTAAATTTAATTGTAATTGTAACTTTATTTTAAATTTACATTTTTTTAATTATAATTATAATGTAAAGAAATTTGTTATTTTAAAATTAATTTCAAAATAAATTTTTAATTCTAATTTTAAAATTTTATTTTAGTTTTTTATTTTATATTACTTTAAATTTAAATTTTCATTTTAGTTTTAATTTCAATTTAAAGAAATTTCTTATTTAAAATTAATTTTAAAATAAATTTAAATTTTCATTTTATTTAATTTTAATGTAAAGAAATTTGTTATTTTAAATTAATTTCGAATTAAATTTTTAATTTTATTTTATTTTAAATTTTAAATTTCATTTTAGCTATAATTTTAATGTAAATATATTTGTGATTTTAAAAATACGGTTAAAAATTCGGTTCACTTAATTTTAGGTTATTATGTTTCATTTCATTATTTTACGTACAATGTTCTGATATTCCGTTTCAATTTTTGCAGGATGGATTATCATTTGGATGTAGAGTTGAGACAGATGTCACGCAAAGTTAGGTGTAATAGTAACTTTGACAACTTCACCCAGGTCCTAGTGCTGCTGGACGACCAACATGCAGATATGCTCGTCAGTGATTTCTGTGGCCTCTATACCCTATGAGAGAGTTGCAGTATTCGGGTCAGATGATCGATGCTCTTTTATGTTGGCTGCTGAGTCCAATTGATGGCGATGCCTTCCACTTCGACCTCGGGGGCAAAGTCGCTAGCTTTTCCCTGTTCGAGTTTGCCCTGCTGACTGGATTGAAGATTACGGGCGATGAGGCAGCTAGCGGCGGGACTCAGAGAAGAAATAGGCTGCAGGACACTTACTTCCAAGGATAGGGGGCGGTGGTTTTGCCTCAGCTGATGGACGCGATTAGGAGGTGTGATGGGATGTTGGACAGACTGAAGTTAGGTATGGTCTACATCATTAAGAGCGTGATGCGGTGTCACCACAAGAAGACTGCTATCGACCTCTTCCACCTTGAGATCGTTGACGACATAGATCGCTTCAACAGCTATTTGTGAGGTCGTCGATGTTTCGAGAACACCGTCCACATCTTCACCAGATCGCACTCGAAGCCCAAGGGGCCCGTGCGTAAGTACGACACGTACGGATTTGCTTTGGTGCTGCAGGTAAATGATTAACGCAATCAATGTTGAAATATTTTTTCTATTGAATTTGTATGCACTAATTTATGTGTTGTAGGTCTGGGTGTATGAGACCATCCCCATATTGGTACCTGCTTTGTGCGGCGAGAGGAGGCACGCTGCCCTCGGATGCATCATTGGCGAGCATCTCGAGCGAAGGGATGTCTCACTGGGAAACAATATCGGCTCTCCTCAACGACTCTCATGTGAGTATTATAAATTTGTGATTTATATTGTACATAGTTTAATATTACATGATTTTATCTTTTTAAAATGTCAATATAAAATAATAACTCATTTGACGTCATCGATGGAAGAGGAGGTGCAAGGTCTCGTGCGTGAAGTAGCGGTTCCGCACGCCTAGGACGACCAAATATCCGATTCGATCCCCGATCGAGACTGGATAAGTGAATTATTGATTAATATTTTGTATGAGTTAGCAATTATTGAATAAGTTAATAATATGTAAGTTTGTCCAGGACCGCGAGTTAGTTGATCGGGCATCACCTCCGCCGACGGCATCACCTCCATCGAGGGCATCACCTTCGCCGACGGCATCACCTCCGCCCAGGGCATCACCTCCACCGTCGGAGGTGACGATCGGGGGTGATTGAGAGGATAGAGATGGGGCTCACCCACAGTCGTGGTCGGAGGATGCATGGGACTCCTTTTTTCAGTCCATGGAGGATAGGGTAGACCCAAGGGCAGAGGAGGTTGGTCCTGAGGGTGGAGAAGGGGATGGTCCCGAGATCGGATGAGGGGGTGGCCCCATTGGGGATGGGAGCGATGGTCGAGGAGGTGGTGCCTACGATAGCGGATAAGGGGGTCGAGGAGGTGTTGTTGACACAGGTAGATGAGGTGGTGGGCCCCTCGAGGATGGGAGCTATGGTCGAGGAAGTGATGATGACGGGGATGGAGGAGGAGGAAAGCGTAGAGGAGGTGGCGATTGTTGGGGTGGAGGAGGGAACGATGCCTGAGGTGGGCGAGGAGAGGACGACGACCGTGACTGGGCCGAAAAAGCGTGTTGTTGACTTGCCCGAGCTATTGGTAGGTAAGAGGCCAAGACAGTACATTGTCTCTCCCTTCACGGCTGAGACGAAGAGGAGGAGGTTCGTTGATGGGACGATCCCCAACCTATTTCGGGAGGTGGACCTTGCTAAGTGGAAAGCATTCGGGACGGAGTGGAGAAGAATGTTGCTCGGGTTAGTATTCATGATATTAGTAAATACCAGTGATTGTTACACGTATACGCTTTTTTAACATTTCTCTGTTTCCTTTGTCAGGACCAGCCATACGATCGGTATTGTGACGATCTCCGATACTTATAAGTGGTTCCACGACATCATCACTTCAGGACCCTAGCTTGCCGACAATGTAAGTGAAGTAGTCATACTATTAATTTTTATGACTTGTATATCATTGTTTGTTTATGCAATGAAATAACTCCATTTTGTATTGCTATTTTTTAATGCAGCACATCGACCTGGCCATGGACTTGTTGCGTGATCGGGTTCAAAGATATCCGAGCTCATTTGATAGTCCTAGCCGAGTTATACTCAATTTGGAGTTCGGACGAAGCATTGACATTGAGTACCAGTCGCTCTAACATGCCGACAAGGAGTATGCGGTGCCCGACTACATGCTCGAGTAGACCATAGAGATGTGGCCAGTGATCGTGAATCATCACTGCATGGCCTTGGAGATTGTGTTCGCTGAGTCTACTATATACATGTACGACCCCGATCATTCATGTCTGACATGGGGTCAGTTCGAGCAAAATCTGGAGCCCATTGCTGTTTTTGTCCCTATGA